TTTTCATAATTCTCATTTGCATTCTGCCAGTTTTGGCGATATATATTTCCGATGCGTTTAATTAAGTACACTGAGTTTCTCTGACACCGTGTGATGTAGATCTCACGCTTCAGGTGTGTTAAATTGGGCTGCTAATGGGACGCTTTGAAAATGAGTCTCAGCTTCTGCTGTTCTGGTCAGTGGAAATTTGTAAATTTGTAAATCTTTGGGTATTAGGGCCAATTGATTTTTCTTACACAGTCATTCTTATTGGTAGATTGTACATTAAATTCAGGGTTCTGACAACAGGACACTACCACAAACACTGATGTACCCAGGGGGACGGTGTCTGGTCTTGTCCTCTGTATAGGTGAGTTTTCTTGAGTTTTGGACATTTCTCGATTTCTGTTGATGCATACTTGCTGGTAGTAGGAGACCTTGTATCTTGATGTACTCCTTTATTTGTATGGATTGTACTTTAAATTATTATGAAACTGCAATAATATTGTTTTAATTGTAACTCTTTTCTTCCAGGAGTTTCGACAGGCTGCCCACCACCTTCGAACCTAGGGGGGAGCAGAGTGGTTTCATTCTTCTGTAATTGGTGAGTCGTCTTCATTTTGGAGCATCTACTTTTGCTTGTCGAAGGACAAAGCCCTCTTGTTGTGAGGGTGGTAGCAGTACATAACTTTATACTTACCTTTAGTTTTTCCTTATTTTGCAGATTGTACTTTAAATTATTATTAAAGCTACAATGATGTTGACTGGAACACGTTATTTTTTGTTGTTTTGTTTTTCAGGATTTCCAACACATGGACCACCGACACCGCCGAAACTTGAGGCTGCAGATATATCATCTTATCTTAATAGGTGAGAAGCTACTTCAAATTATTATGAAAAGTACAAAGAAGTTTTTATTAACCGGAACTCATTCTCCTCTTTCACGTTTTCCTCAGCTACACCACAACTACAAACACTGCTGTACCTAGGGAGACGGTGTCTGGTCGTCTCCTCTGTATAGGTGAGTTTTCTTAAGTTTCGGCCATCTCTCGATTTCAGTTGATGCATAC